TAGCTGTGAATACGGAGATTTCATCAAATTATTCCTACATTTGGACGAACCGGGCGTTAATGAGAAGACGAGTTGGAACTCAATTCTGTGAGGAAAGGCTTTCTTAACTGTCATTTTTCATGCAAATGTAGTGTCAAGTGATGATCGACTCGAAGCACAAAATCGGGAGTAAATAATACTTAAAACGATATTCCGAGAGACAGAGAGAGTGAATAATATGTTCCGTCAGTTTTCACTGACTCTATGTCATAGACTACGGGCTCTTATGACACGGCATCAAGAGATTCAAATGAGACGAACAAAGAATTATTATTTATATATTTTACTCCGTTTTGTAGTTTTATTTTTTAAAAGTCGCCTCAAAATGGGAGAGAAATTATTTTTTAAAAACTTTGTCTCTGCCTTTTCTGTGTGTCTCAACGCTCGCAACGACTTTCCCTCTATTATGATGTATGGCTTGTAGTAAAGTATATGCCATAAGATATGCCACTCTTTTTCTTTATATTCTTCTTCAGAGTTAACGAATGAAAAAACAAATGAGAAGTAAATCCTCTTTAGTTTTGTCTAATATTGTGAATAACAGTATATATTCTTTCGCATATAATAGCAGTTTTTATGCCATAGATTTGTGATTTAATTCTCGTTATATTTATATACTTACTCTATATCTCTGTGTTTGAATCTCTTGAGCGAAGTCTGAGTTTAATTACAAATCATTTTATTAATTCTTTTCATAGATTTTAATTAATCTGAAAATAAAGACGATTACAGAATATACGGCATCTATAATACAGACATAGTATTACCGAAACATTTTGTTCACTCAATTAATGGCTGAAAAAACTAATTATAAGAATTGATTTATTAGTAGTATTTTTTGTATGTTCAATGGATTGACAAAAGTCTTGTTATTTTTATTTCTCGTTAGAGTTAAGAAATCAAAACAAATATCTGATCATATATTTTATATTTAGTACAGAATAAGTCAATAAAGCATAAAAGAAATACCTAAACCATTATCGAGAGAATTACAGGCCCTAGTGTTCAATACTATGGCCAGAAAATTGAGTATTAGATATGCCACTGCTATAAGAATACCCGCAATATATAACTTTGTATTGTGAACTACTGTACAGAATATTCTGTACACAGTATAGTGAGTACAATGAAAGTAAAGTGAGTCTTGCATTCAATCACAATCTCAATAATCTTTGTGCACAAAAAATAGGATTGACGTGTAATTGTTGTGACTCTACATTATATACTACCCGCCAGTACTCTCTCTCTCTCTCTCTCTCTCTCTGCCATTATTTCCCTCTCGCTATTTCTCGGCTGTTTAAGTCTCTCCCTCTCAGTCCAATCTTTATGGCAAATGATTAATATTCGTAAAGCAAATCTCACACAAAACTTCTGTGAAAACACTTTTTCTGCGGTCAAAGACATAAGCATTTGGTTCTCAACTTCTACTCCATTCTCTCACTCCTTGTCTTATTTGTGATTTTTTCAGTCGCGTTCACTGATTCTTATGTCTCAGAGAGACTGCCGTTAGAGTCAACGTAATTCGGGCTATCATTCAACGGAATACAGTGAGCGCCCCATATATTGACTGATCAATTATACAAGAATCTTACATTAAGTAAACTGTATTTTTTCTGTCGCACCGGAAACCCTATCGCACTGTTAAGTAATGACTATTTAAGGGATTTGATTCAATTCAAAAGAAATTCAATTCAATACAACTGTCGGTCTCTTAATTCTAGGTTAAACACGAGAGAGAGAGAGAGAGAGAGAGTTGAGACACACAGAAAAGGCAGAGACAAAGTTTTTAAAAAATAATTTCTCTCCCATTTTGAGGCGACTTATATTAATCATTTGCCATAAAGATTGGACTGAGAGGGAGAGACTTAAACAGCCGAGAAATAGCGAGAGGGAAATAATGGCAGAGAGAGAGAGAGAGAGAGAGAGAGAGAGAGAGACTATGTATTTGATGCTTGAATACAAATATCTAGCACTTGTTAATACCATATGTATGAACTAAACTCACTAAAACACTTGGAGTATAGTATACTCCCAGCACTGGGTTTCTCTCATATCAGTAGTAATTCTGTTTATTCCTATCGTTAGAGTATTTTTAATTAAAGCACTAAAAGAAATACATCTCCGACGAGAACATCGCATGTAAAGTGCAAACCGACTAAAAATAAATAAATACTACTCTTTAATTATTGTATAAATAATGAATGCTTTTAGACGTTAAGCAAATAAGGTGTTTTTATTTGCAAACCTTGTATTACTTATAATAAATGCAGTTTTATTTGTAAAGAAAGGTTTTTGTAATAATGAATTTTATATAAGTTTTATTAATCCTTATATGTTGAGAGAAATATAAATTAATATTTTATATACTGTATGATATACTGTACTATGTTTTGTAATAAAGTTACTATATGGTGCTATAATAAGTAGCACAGTATTCTAGTAAATGGTATTATTTAATTGCAATAATCTGTAATTTTAAAGTTATATCTTATTTAAGAAAATATTAAACTTCTACTGATTTGAAATAAATTTTCATTATAAAATTCCGAACTCATATCCAATTGCCTCCCATTTAATGTTACATAAAAGTATTTCACGTCCTCTTAATGGCACATATTTTTATTATTTTTCATTTCTCATCCGATTCTCCACTTTCTATTGCTTTTAACACAATATAAGGCAAAAATTATATAAGAAATGAGACACAAGTGAGACACAAAAAATATCATCAATACTTTCTATTGGTTTTAGTGCCAAATGTGTGCGGATTATATTAGATGTACTGATTGTCTGTCCCCTCAGATATAACAAACACTATATCTCTATCTCAATGTCTATTGACTGACAATATTTTTGGTTTCCATTTGTGACACAAAATTCCCTCAATTTTTTTGTTAAGGCTGTGAACGGCAACAAAATAGTCCTTTTGATTGTTCAGGAAATTATAGACTTTCATCGTTTTGTTTGGCACTAAAATAGTGATGAGAATGAAAGGCAGAGAGAGAGAGAGAGAGAGAGAGAGAGAGAGAGAGANAGAGAGAGAGAGAGAGAGAGAGAGAGAGAGAGAGAGAGAGAGAGAGAGAATAACTATTAATATTATTACAGTATAAAAAATATGATTAAATAACGAATAAAGTGTAGAATAGAGACGGAGAGAGAAAAAGAAAATTAATTATAAAAAGTTATTATAAAATTCATAATTACATTCAAAGATAGCTTTTGTAGCATAAAAAATAATTAGCATATAATTCATTGCCAAAAACGAGTAAAACAAATGATCACAACATATAAATTAGGTAAAGCCTTATCTCGTGTATAAAACTCATACTTTGTTTTAATACATTGTATATAAAGTAAACTCAAATATAAAATAATGGGATAAAACATTTGTCTTCAAAAAATTGCAAAAATATAAAAATACATATAAATTAAGCCAAAAAGAGGAGCTAATGTAATGAAAAGGACTCACGGCTATCATATAAATACTGACTATATATCTATTATATAACATTTTACTGCATAATATAGAAATAAAACACTAACCAAAAAAAAATCTAATATCATTTTTTTGTGTCTTTCTTTTAATACTATATTAATAGTGAAATTTATTGGCAATAAATATGGAAAGAAATGCGAAATAACGGGAGACGAAAAAAGTAGCCAACGATTGTTACACACGTTTGGGTGACAACAGAATAATGGTCTAAATGGACGTACAGTTAATGGCTCTCTGGGAAGGGTATCACATATATTGGTTACTCTACTGCATAACCATTTCGGTGGTCCGGCAGTCATCGGTGGTGAGGGCTGTCAACACGAAATGCGATTGTGTTGTCTTCGAGGAGACATTTGGCAAAGAGTTTGGTGTCTTCACATCACCCAATTGGCCCGTACCGTAAGTGACCCGCAAATAGGCCGCAAACTCGACCGCATTCTCGCCGAATAATGCATGTCTTCTCATCACAAAAAAAACAAATAAATAACACAAAAACCAATCGCATGTCTGCTATAGAGTTGACAATACAAACGAAAAACACGACAAAAAAAACAAAACGCCTTTTGAATGAACAAAAAAAGCAAAAAGCGATTCAACTCTTCTTCTATTTGTCTAATTTGTATTTTTTTCTGTCTGTTTCTCTCGATTTGTGGTCGTATTGACAGATATGTAGACAATATAAACTGTTTGCTGTACTCGTTCTTAGCCGAAAGGGATCAGATCGTTGAGATCACATTCGACGAGTTCGATGTCCAGAAGACTTCTCTCGAGTCAGTATTTTCTCTTTTATTACAATATATTCTCTTTTCGTTATATTATTGTTTGTCATAACAATTAAATATTAGAAGACATTTCTGTTTTCGCTGACTAACTATTTATGGCACCAATTTATGGCTAATTTTATTAATAGTTTTTATGATCTCTGTATTTAATGTTATGGTTGCGGACAAACATGCATTTGACGGGTGCTGTGCTGTATAGCTGTGAATACGGAGATTTCATCAAATTATTCCTACATTTGGACGAACCGGGCGTTAATGAGAAGACGAGTTGGAACTCAATTCTGTGCGGAAAGATAGCGGACATCGAGCAAACCCACTACAGCTCCCATTCAAACCTCGTGTTTGAGTTCCGCTCCGACTGGAGGAATGGCAATAACACCGGCTTTCGGGGCACCTATAGGTTCCTTAACAAACGTTAGTCTTCCCCCTCTTTCTCTCTCTTATCAACTCTTGTTTCACTGTTTTCTATGTGTTTGCAATTTTTGCCTCATTTTTTAAAATACTGTCAAACAGATAAGAACATAGAGTTGTCACATGAAATTTAAAACCACACTTTGTGTGTTTTGTGTTTTTTGTGCAAAATAAACATAAAAGACAATCGAAATTGTTTTGATTGAATTTGTCATTTGTTTGCAGAAATGTTTCACACGGACGGAGAGCTGATCCCTAAAAGCAAATGTGATTATAAGTTTGAGAGCACCGCCACTATTAATGGCACGGCTCGGTCGAGGGGTCGCTTCTATAGTCCACAGTATCCATCGACTTATCCCAAGAATATTGAGTGCTCTTATATTTTCGTCGGACAGTCCAATGAAAGAGTGAAACTCACGTTAGAGTCCATCAGACTTCTTAAGACTGATCTCAGGTATAGCTTGTCATACAATCATATATTTTAATACCAATTTACGAGCGTTTAATTAATCAAATCTGTTTCTCCCGTATAATTAGTTGCATAAACAGTCCTGATTTGATACTCATTCACGACGGCAACGACACGAGTGCGCCAGTGATCGGACAGTTGTGTAATATAAACAGTTATGTGGAGTTAGTGTCGACCGGACCCGTACTATACGTGCAATTCCTGAGCCGAAGTCATACACCGGGTCAGGGGTTTAAAGGGAAGTTCACTTTCGACACAATCGGAAACAGTGCCAACACTGTTGTCGTCGACATACCCTCCACTGGTAAGAGCGCAGCGCCTGTCGTCCAATCCATTACCGATCCTAACGTCGCTCTCTGTTGTATCGCAATTGCATTCAATTATTGATTGAAGTTTTTGCACATCGCGTCTATATATAGAAACATATTTTTCAAACACTATTTTGTTTATATTCTTGAATTGAGAAAACACTTCATAGAATTCTTATGATAGATATGTTTGTGAAATAAATATTCATTTATTTATAGTTATCGTAAAAATAGGAATAAAAGCGTATGATATTTATCATATATTTTGTTTCATATTATATGATATATCAATTTTATATATCTTTTGCAAACATTTATCTCCGAATGCTTTTAAAAAGTATAGAAATTTTGTAAAAGAAGTTACAAAAAATATTTATAATTTTGCCAAAAACTTATCGATTTCAAGAAAGTTTTACATTTTATTACTCGCATATGAATAATAAATTATTTAACATTTGAATAAATGTTATACACATATTTTTATGATAAAATTATTTAAAAAACAAAAAATTCAAATGTTTTAGGATTTTAATTTTTACTTGAAATATAGTAAGCGTTTTGTTTCATTAAAATATATTTTGTATCGAAAAATGAATTAAATTTGAATTTATTTATTCAATAATCAGTAAGAGAGACAACGAGTTTTGTTTTTACCCAGAGATATCAATATATCATAGGAAATATTATTATAAATTCTTATATTATGGATAAAATTTATTCAAATATTCAAAAAAGAAAATTTTTATTTGCGTTACGAATACATAAAGAATATATAAATCTTTACAGAATATATATTATATACGGGAATATAATCTACACATTCATACATAACATATCGGAAATATTCTTGTGTTTAAATAGCGTTCATTCCATTAGAAAAATAAATTTTTAACTATAAGTGAATACAAAAAGCAAATATGTATACAAATATAAGTATATCAGCATGCCTCGGATTTTGAAACAATTCTGACGCAAATTAGTGTTATGCACCACTCAAAAATAATTTTTTATAAATATATGTTTTAATGTTTATTTATCTTATATACTAATTAATTTACACTTAAAACATTACAATAAAATATTTTAATAAAAACTTAATTTTTATTGGAAATATACAGGATTAAGATTAAAGGATTTAAATCAAAGTCACATTTCTTGCACGGGCAAAGCATGTGATGCACTTAACTATTAAAATACCTGTTTTTAAGCCAACACATGACTTGAGTTACAATGCATTAAATGTTGAAAACAATAATTTTCTAAATCATTTTTTTCAAATAATTAATTTGTTCTGTCTTTAAATTGTGTTTTAATTATTATTTGATAATATGTTCAAAATTAATAAGTGTTTTGATGGTTGAAATGAAGAGTAAATTATATAAAGAGATTGTGTGAAATAATAAACTAAATTCAGTGTATTTTGAATACAAATAATAGTGTTTTGTGTGAAGCAATTAAATGCAAAATAATGATTATTTTTCAAACAATCAAACAATTGATTTCGATTTATGTAAAATCAGTGATAAAATGCTAAAGAATTGTCATATCATTACTAAATCTTGTGGTTATTTTTCAATCAATTAAATAATTGATTGCAATTTATGTATGTTTTATTTATATATTTATGTACTCATTGATATTATTACTTATTTTTGAGTGGTGTATAACACTATTTTGCGTCATAAATGTTTCAAAATCCGAGGCATCATATAGTCCTCTACATCTGTACTAAATGTATATTGACTATCCTTTATTTTTTACATAATGTCTGTGTTGGCCTCTCGCGATTACCAGAGATACAATAACTTTCTATCGCAAATATATGCAAGACTCAATAGAGGCATATATTTGGTATATTTTGCTGTTTTTATACTTTTTTCATCTCATAATGTCATTCAATTCACTCAAACAGAAGTATTTTTTGCCTCACATTTTTTTCCAACAAAAATAATTTGAAACTGAATTATCATTTTATTAATCTAATGTTTTTTGGATTTTTGTATAATAGTTAACGTGTGTGTACTGCAAGTGTAGGAAATCTCCCGGTGCTCTCATACCCTCTACCATAGTATCTCATCACTGAATTCAGTGACTTATATAAAGTATTTTTTCTTTTTGTCTGTCTTTAGTTTAAGTTTGTTTTCATATTTATATTATTTCTATATTTTGTGTCT